GCCCTATTAGCAAGGTTTGTGAGAGGATACAGGGTCATAGTTCATTGGCCTATGGGAGTATTTGCATGTCTTTATTTTAAAAAGAAACTAAACAAAACCATTGGATGTTTTAAAATTACAAGTTCCAATACCGAAGCTTATATTTTCCTTGGTGAGATAGGTTTTCTAAGCAAGTCTTCCATCTGCATATACGTAGTTTGGCTTTATCATCATTGGCCTTGGGTTCTGATCCTTGAAATATTTTGGCAGATTTTCAACGTTTTCCTCATGCCGTTCTCTTATTGTAATGATCCTGTACTAACTGCTTTGTATTGCGTAGTCCCTTCTAGGCAGGGGGCCTAGGTGAGTGATAACATCCCCATCTGCTCCTACAAATAATGTGAGCTTATTCCTACATTCAGGCAAGAAGAGGACAAAGAGCATTCTTCAATTTTGTTCAGGGTTGGTTCTCCTGCTGTCTTCCTACCGTATTCTTCTTGGACATTTTCCTTTAACAGGAGCTAAAATTATTCTGCTTATTGAGTAGACCATCGAATTTAGTCTGAGGCATTTGTCCATGCTTCAGAAATATGTTTTTCTACAGCACTGGTTCTCAAATTGTAGTACCCCCAGAAATTCTGGCTTATTAAAACAACAGATTTCTGGGCACTTTTGGCAACATTTCTGATTTGCTATATCTGTGGTACAATGGATATTCCATATTTCTAACACATTTCCAGGAGAGACTGATGCTATTGGTTCAGGGACCACACTTTGAGAACAACTGGCCTATATTAAGAATTTGTCAGGTGTTAACATTGAAAATATTGTATTCTTTTTTTTTCTGGATCAAACTCGTGACCTTGTGCTTGCAAGGCAGGTGCACACAGCTGAGCTACAACCCCTGCCCACGTTTAAAATATTATAAAAAGCAAAACCTAGCATAGTGACCCTTGCCTGTAATCCCAGGACTCCAGAGGCTGAGGAAGGAAGAGCGATCGTGAACATAGTGAGTTCAAGGCTAGCGTGAACTATACAGAAAGATCATGTCTCAAAAACATGTTTTTAAAAACATGATCCTCAGTCTCTTTGAGGTGCAGTTTAAATAGTAAATGGAGAAAATAAATAGAATGCTGTGCAGAAAGCTTTGTTTTAGAGGAGTGCTATACTGCTATGGGACCATGGATACCCAACCACTTCTTCCAGACAGAAAGAGGAAAGTAAAGGGAAATTGAGAGGAGGAAGTTTTAATCAATTCCTAGTAACACAAATTGCTTCTCTGTGGATGTATAGTTACCATATTAGAACTGTGCTATCTGTATGGATAGTGAGCCTTTGAATGTAGCCAGTCTAAGTAAAGATGGGTGCTAAGAGTAATACAAGTATCAGTTTTCAAAGTATAAGAAATGTGAAATATCTAATTAATATGTTTACATTGATTATATGTTGAAATGATAATTCTATGTCTTTGGCAAGTAAAGCATATTGGTATAATGAATTCCACTCATTTCCCTTTTTCTGAGTATTTAAACATGGGCATTTCTCTTAAAATTGGATGAAGTAAGCCTGTCACTGACTTCAAGTAAAGTGACCGATAGGTTTGCTCCTTTTTACTTTTTTTTAATGTACCTACTAAAATATTTATATTATCTATATATCATTCACCATATTTATACTGGATAGCACTGGGCTAGACTATCATCTTCAGGGATTGATAGAATACCTGCAGAAATATTTGTATTAGGTGAGACCTATGATTCTGCATTTCTATAAAGCTCCTAGGAGATGCTGTTATTTTATGACTACATATAGAAATTCCTCTCTATGCTCCGGCTTTTATAGAAACTTTGCAAAAATAGGTTTGCACATAAAACATTTGTAATTGAATATAAAATTTTCTTAGCCATATACCTGTTTTCTATAAGTAAAGAAGTTATATTACTAAAGGTACACAGATCTTTGTCAGCTGGTCTCTTTCTCTGCATTAACAGATATTAAATAGTACTTTTGTTATGTGAGAGTCCTATAGTTTGGGGACTATCAACAAGGGATTCCACACGGTTAAAATGGAGAAGCAAAAATACGTGGTAACATATAAAATAAACAACTATAACACATTCTATCCTGTATATTGCTCTTATAAAAAGATTTTCAAGTTCACCATCTAGCCTGATGTGCCCACTGGTAGAAGTTGTTAAAAAGCTGAAGGTGAAGGAGATAGAAAGAACAAACAGAAAAGAATGATGTGTTTGTTTTTCAAATAGGTCAGGTCACAGAAGGATCTGTTGATGTTAGGAATAAAATGACCCATGGAAAAAGGACAATTAAGTTCTAGGAAAACATCTTTTCAGTAAGGAGAGAACAATCATTTATGCTTAACCTCAATTCTGTTAAAAAAATAAAAAGGAAGTGTACAGGGCCCTTTGAAGAATTGAATAAGGAGTGTGTAAATCTAAATGCCCTGGATAAACACAGTGCTCAAAACACATCGAGGTCAAAGTGCACTGTGAAGCTTAGGAACATTTAGTTTCCAATGTGTATACAGCTACTTGTATTTTATTCAAGAGGAATGATACCAAAATTACCCAGGTAACCTTGAAAGTAACATGGCCCAAATGTTCCAAAATCTGTCCTCCTGCAAGAATCGTCTAATCATCAAGGGCATTCTCTCTTTTTTTTTAAAGGCCTCCGGATGTGTAAGACTATAGGGAGAAAAATGAATGATATAGGGAGTGTGACAAAAAAGAAATTATATAAGGTACAGCATGGGAACGCAGCCATTGGGATATCAAAAAAATATTTTGGAGTTTAAGAGAATAAAAGGCACAGTATTTTTCAAACATTTTGTAAAGAAACCCAAGTAATTAGAACATATTAACGAAATTACTAGATTGCTTGATCTTTATATACTACTTAATTTGTGATTTGCTTTAATCAGGAATTATTTTTGCTAATTCTGAAGCTAGTTGTTATGGTACATCATATAAATATTTTGTTATTGTTTTTTAAATGGAGTATGTCACTATTAAATGTGTTTAAATAGCTGATTTCTGTATGCATACATTTCTTTTACTTTCCTGAGATTTCTAATTCCTTTCTAGAAACGTGTATATAGCTTGGGGTATTTCAAATGGCCAGAGTGCTCGTGTTTTCTTGCCCCGCCTTTATTCTGTGACCGTTGTTTGCCTTGCCTCCAAGTTCTAGCGGCTTTATTCTTTATTCTTTGAAGTGGCCTTCTCTCTCAAGGCTGACCTCTCCTGCCCTAGAGTTTGACCCCGCCTACCCTTTCTTCCACATTTGTTTGCCCTGGTTGTTTCCCTCATTGCTTTTCCCACTGCCCCACTGCGTGTGAAACACTCCACCAGCAGCTGCTCACAATTCCCAGCTTACGTCATGGCCAGCATTCAAAGAGCTGCTGTTCTCACATTTCCACCAGCAAGACGCCCCCTCTCCTCCTTCCCTGCGCATTCCTCCAGTAGAAAGTAGAAAGAACCCTCTTTCAGGCCATCTGAGATCTGCATGTTAAAGCCAGCTCTGTTGGGAAGATGGATATAGCTTACAAAATCCAGAAATGCTATTTTTAAAGATAAATACCACCAAGTGAATTTCAAATTACTTGTAGTTTGTCCTAATGCTCCTTTATTTCATATAACCTACAGTTTCCTTAAAATAAGTATCACTGTGATAGAATTTCTGCCATTGCTTAATATACTAAGTAATTTAATAAGGTAGGTATGTGGATAGAAATATGGTTAATTAGAAAGTGCTTGTTATATTGGTACAGCCTTAACACATACTCATACATCAACTGGCCAATGCATTTGTACAATACCAGTTTGAGAAGAATTTATTTTAGTGACTATTATGCACTATTGAGATTAATAATGAGCACTTATCTCAAATATCTTAGATAGCACTACAGGCCATTCACTATTCTGAGCACTTCTACATTTACTAATGCTTTTAAGCCTCCCACTAGCCCTATGAGAATGATATTATTTTTATCCTCATTTTGCAGATGAGCAAAATAAGGAGCTAGAGGGTTAAGTGACTTGTCTGTCTGATGTTGTATAGCTGGTAAGTGAGAAAGCCAGGATTTGACCCCAGGCAGTCTGTTTGGGGAATCTGTCATAACGTCTAGCCATCGATCACTTCTCTGATGCAAAGCTGGATTGGCATGATGACATTTCTTCTTCATTTGCAACCTAGCCCTTTCTTTGAAAAGTATAGCTTTGCCCTCACATTTACTGATGTCAGGAATCACACGTTTCAAGAGTTGAGAAAGTGAGTATTTAAAGTAGAATCTCCGCCGTAGCCTATTTAACCAAGAGCCTAAGTCATTCACAGATTGAAAAACTAAAACCTCTTCCTATGGGACCAGGAGAGTTTAATCCTCAAACACTTCCCAAAGTGAGCAGAAATACTCCTTCATTCAGTCATCCATTCAATAAATATTTGGCCCCAGCCCCATCTTCTTTCTGTGGCTCTTCCCCAGTGTTCTGTTTCCTGGCTGCTATGAACTAAGCAGCTTTCCTCTATCGCTTCCACTCCCCTTAATGTTTCTGCCTTGGAGCCAGCCAACCATGGACTGAAACCTGTGAAGCCATGAGCCAAAATAAACCTTTTCTCCTTTACGTTTTGTATGGCTTTGTATTTTTGACCCAGCAATGAAAGGAACAATGTAATAATAATTCCAATGTATAAATTTAATAGCTAAGGATTTTTTTTGAAGTAATGGACTGTGGAGTTAATATGTAATGAAGTCACAACCCAGGAAGATTTTCTTTCATTATCAGACAGCATCCTGTTTGTTTTCTTAATGGCACATTTGAAAATCTGTAGTTGCATGTTTTTCAGCTTGTTATTGAAAGTCTGTCTTGCCCATTTGAAATTCAGCTCCACAAGAGGGCTTTGATACCACATTTACAGCCACTTAGTAGTGTCTTTTTCTGAAAAAAGAAACACATTATTGATTACTGAAGACTATACTAAAATGAACCTGTGTAAAAGAAACTGTAAAAGACAATATCATCAGAAATACCAAATTTGACAAACACAAAGCCAAGAAAACCAACAGTGTCATATATTGAATTTCTATTGCACCAAGACTGTAATTTCTGAAAAAATTAATACTCAAGTCTAGATCTGTGGGTTCATAAGGTTAGCAAATACTTAAATAATTTTCTAAACATTCCATGAAAACAGAATTGATCAAAAATTACATATCCTTGGGCCCTGGGATTTAGATCAGCGGTTCAGTGGCCTGCCTTGCAAGCGTAAGGACCCGAGTTCGATCCCTGGTACAAAAAAAAAAAATTACATATCCTTTATTCCTGTCCCTCCTAGGCTCCAGGCAACCACTGAACTATTTTCTATTATTGTAAATGAATTTACATTTTTGTTTTCTATGATTGGGTTGCACATTATCAAAAGGATATACTAGTGGTGGCAAACTCATGGCATATGCACCGCAGCCAGCTCTTTCTAACACTGAAAGCTCTGAAAGGTTCTCCATCATTGATGTATATACTTTTTGGGATTTTTTTTTTCAGTCAGCATAATTATCTTGGGTTTCAGTCATTGAGCTGTATATATCAATAGCTCATCCATTTTTATTGCTAAGTACTATCCCATTGTATGGATATATCCTAGTTTCTTTATCCATTTACTCTTTAATGTACTTTGGGGTTTTTTCAAGTTTGCAACTATTATAAATACTATGACCATTCATGCCCCAGACTTTTTACTAGACACATACTTTTCCTTTTATTTCTTGTGGGTAAATGCCCCAGGACTGGAACAGCTACATAATGCATAGCAGGCGTGTGTTTAATGTATTAAGAAACTGCCGGAGCCAGGCATGATGGTGCAGGTTGTAATCCCAGCACTTAGGAAACTGATAAAGGATCACCGTCTGGCCTACATAGTGAGATCGACTCCACCATGAACTACATTAGTGAGCCCCAGTCTCAACCCCCCCCCAAATAAAACAGCAGAACTGTTTTCCAAAGCAGTGTAGCATTTAACGTTTTCCATCAGAATTGCATGAGAGTTCTAGATGCCTGTATACCCTCCCCAAATTTAATACAGTCAGCCTTTTTAATTTTAGCCATTTCAGTAGGTCTGCAGTAGTAGCTCATTATGACTGAAATTTGCATTTCCTAGTAACTGATCATATAGCCATTCCAGCTTTCTTATAACTTTTGTTGCTGTGGAATAATTTTCCATCCATTTACTTCTAAGTTATTGTGTCTTTATATTTAATGTGCATTTCTGGAAGGCAGTATATAATTTAAAAATCCAATCTGATGATCTGATGGTCTATTTTAATTAGAAATATTTAAATCATTTGTATGTATTGTGTTTATTAATCTGGTTTGATATAAACTTGTCATCAAGAAATATTTTTCTCTTTGTCCTATCTGTTTTTTTGTTTGCTTGTGCTTTTTTGGTCATCTTTTAAATTAATCTACTATTTCCTGTGAACACATTTTTCCTCTTATGATATATTATCTATGGCTATATGTCTTTGTTATTTTAGTGGTTTCTTTCAGGTTTCTAATTTGCATCTTTAACTTGTCACGGTGTGTCTTCAAGTGATGTTAAATCTCTATATATGGTATAAGAACTTTACAGTAATATATTTTCATTTCTCCCTCTCTAAACTGTGTCCTGTCTTTTGATCCTTAGAGGTCTTGCTTTCATGATTAGTTGGGATTAGACCACTGCTCACTGTATGCCACATTTTACCCACAACTGAGATGAGACCCCCCTCTGTGTACCTTTCACATTGCCCTGCAAATAATGACGTTTCCAGCCTGCCTGGTGGGAAATGGATACTCCTTCCTGCCCCACGTGGGTGCTGAACACTTTTAATTCTGATCTTTTCTGGGAGTTCTTTCCTGTTCACTCATCCATCTGCTCATCAGTCTTCAGCTGAAAACTTGAAAGGGAACCTCCTCAGATCTCTATGAACTCTCTCCCTGTAGCCTTCTGATCTTCTGTCCTGTGAATTCTAGTTGCCTTGGTCTTTCCAGACTCTCAGTTCCAGCTCCACAACTCAAAGAGCCTGCCAGGATCCTCCAGGGTTTTCTTCCCTATACTCTGGCCTGGAAATTCTCACATAGTAGTAAGCTAGAACAATTCTAGGCTCACCTCATATATTTCCTGTTTTGGGGGGTATGTTTTCCTTGTGTGGTTCATGTACATTGCCTTAAAATCCATCATTACATAGATTTGTCCGTGGTTTGATTATTTCAGGACAGTGGGTAAATTGGCTCGTATTAATGCATCTTGCTTGGTAACAAAGGTCCTAAAATAATATTTGCAGCAGTGTTTTTTCTTCATCCAGAGATGATACGCAAACATTGTTGGAGGAAAACAGGTAATTAGCTGATAATGTATAATCCCCCAGACATGGAGAGTCTGTTACTCACTTACCAACATTACACATACTTTGTTTTTCTTTCATAATACCAGTGATTGCCTTGTGCTGATTCCATCCTATATTTTGCTTAGTAGCATTTAGAATCTTGTCTTCATAATCAAGTTGGATATGACTCAGGCCGTAATATGTATCTCAAAAATCTGGTCAGGACCTAAAGCCAAAGGTATGGAGCAACTTACCTCAAGTATAAATTAGCCAATATTTCAGCTGCTAAATCTACTTTTGAAACAACTAAAACCATCAGCGTACTTCATTACTGTAAAAATAGACTATAAAGAGATGGGAAGGGAATAGGGAAACTGGGAACTGGGAAGAGAGACGGAAGGAGAGGGGAAGGGAAAGTAAAAAAGATCAAGATGTGATATGGAACAACCCACTTGCCAGACCCCCTTCTGTCTCTTTTAGACAGAAGATTTCTTTCTCTTAGTAAATTCTTCCTACTCTTAAAAAAATAAAATAAAATTAAAAAGGATATGGACCAGGGATTTAGCTCAGTGGTTCTGTCACCTGCCTCTCAAGCACAAGGTCCTGAGTTTGATCCTCAATACCAAAAAACAAACAACAAACAAACAAACAAGGATATGCTATGTACGTGTTATCAATTCACTACAATTAATGTATTTATTATTACCGCAAATATATACTAGTAAAAATAGATAAAACAAAAATATCCATTTTGAATTATTGTACATTTTAATATTCTTAGCTTAAAACTCCAGCAATCATTCTTTAAAAGGTTCTATCTATTTAATTCTAATACCATGTTATTTAATGACCAGTGACTTACCATACCTAAGTTTCATTTTAGGAACGAGGCCCCATTACCACCCATCAATTCAGAAAATTTTAGTATTAAAGGTCCAGAAATCCAACTCTTGACTTTATGAAGGTATTACACCATATGTCATAGTTCACACAGCTCATTAATAGTGGAACCAGAACTAAATACACGCTCTCTATTCTTACATGCCTTTTAGTTTTATTCTAAAAAGAGCATTCATCATTCTAAATATTCTGTATTCTAAGACATTTTAAGTAGAATTACTTATCCAAATCCTACCTATCTTGTAAGGTCCATGTGAAACAATAAGTAAAGTTCTGTGAAAGTGCCTCAGAAAGTATTAAATGCTATTTAAATGTTAAGTTTTATTACTAGAACTGCACTTCATCTCTATGAAACCTTTCTAAACTTTCTCACTTTTCTGAACTTGAATATACAACATCTTTTCTAATACATTGGTTATTTCTTTAATAAGAAATTAATCCATTCTACCCTGCCAGGTTATAAAACAAGAGTTTCTCTTTTTTTTCTGCAACCAATTGGTATGTTATAGTACTATACATCTAGTAGGTTCCAATTAAACACATGCTGAACAAAATTGAACCAGATTTCTTTCTAGACATATGGAGAAAAAACCATCCTGATCCTCAGGAAAAGGAGGTACTTTCAAACAGTTTTATAATGCCTCTTTGATGTTCTATATTTACAATGAAAATGTGTTAATTTGTCTTATGTTTAACTTTTATATCATATCTCCCTCCCTTTGTTAAAATTGAACAGACTTTTAGGTTGATGTAATAATTTCTATCAACAGCTGCCTGCACTGGTAGAAAAAAAGAGAAATATAAGTGCAGTCTTGAATTTCAGATTCCCCATACACATATTTATATTCACTTTTAGCATTCCTGTCCTCTGAAATATGGCTTGTATTTCTGTGTTATCTCAGCCTTGAGCTTTATAAATGTTAACCTCTGTTTCCATCCATAAATTTTTGCTGAACTACCTCTTATTGTACTTTGATTGGCTAATTCAGAAAACTCACATACAAGTAGGTTACTATATGTGGCACTTAGGAAATATAAACACATTTCAAATTGCTTTAGATAAGTCAGCATCCCCAATTCTCAAGCAGAGTTTTCCCATTGGGCATTTAAACTTTAAGGACATTGGAGTTACCTACAACTATGTGACTATGCTATCCTCAGGAACTCTGATAACCTCTGTAAATTAAGTCCTTCATTGATCACACAGCTCACTGTTTTGGTGCCATACATAGAATTCTTATTTCAAAGGTAGCTTTTCCTACTGTGAATATTCCCTGCTTCCCATCTCTTCAGTATATTCTGTTAAACTGTCTCCTTCATTGTGGTTGTTAGCCCTTTGCTGCTGGTGAATTGGGTGCTGATCTTGGTTGCTGAGGCTTCCATCCTTTTCTGCCCTTACACAGATTGTGAGACTGCTCTGCTGGAAGTCCAGATATATCTCTGGAAAAGTAGGATGATAGGTCTCAAAAGAGTATTGCTGAATCCCTGGGAAGGGCATTATTTTTTCCTTTTCCCAAAATCTGTATACATATCCCCTTCGCGCTTGCTGGCTAGGGCCAGGCTTGTAAGGGATCCACCCTTCTCCATATGACCATGGGCAACCAGGAAAGTCACAGCCTAAGGGAATGGATCATGGTAGTCCCTGAGGTATTTCAGGGTGACCTATTGTCCTCAGTGTCATTATCAGGGATTGAACATAGGCATTTTATGCCATCTCAGGCAAAAGAGATACAGAGACATTTAGTTTTAGGAGCTTCTAAGAAAGATTTGCCTCATCTGGGGAACTAAATAGACCTCCTTCTTTCTCTGAGCACTGTGCCAAGTTCTTCCCTTTATCCAGAACATTCTCTTTCCAGATACTTATGTGACTAACTCTGTCACTGC